GCACCATGCACCATGCACCATGCACCATGCACCATGCACCATGCACCGGATAGGGAATTGGCAGAAGGCAGAGAGTTGGGATAAAGGGGTCTTTTTCAGGATGGCAGCCAGTAACTCGTAGAGTTCTGCAGGAGTCTGTGTTGGGACCGCAACTATTCCTGTTAAACATTAACAATCTGCATGAAGGAACTGAGGGCATTCTGTCATCTGGAAACTTAGAAACAAAGATGGGTGGAGGTAAAGGTAGTATTGAAGTGGGGAGGCTGCAGAAGGACTTGGACAGGCTAGAAGAGTGGGCAAAGAAGTGACAGATGGGATACAATGTGGGAAAGTGTAAGGTTATGCACTTTGGTAGGAAGAAGGCATAGGCGTGGAATAGAGGCAGCACAGTGGTTAGCACTGCTGCTGCACAGTGCCAGGGACCCGGGTTTGATTCCATGCCCTTGAGCAACAGTCTGCGTGGAGTTTGCACTTTCTCCCTGTGTCTGTGTGGGTTGCCTCCGGCTGCTCCAGTTTCCTCCCACAGTCCAAAGATGTGTGCAGGCTAGGTAGATTGATCATGCTAAATAGCCCCATAGTGTTAGGGGATGTGTGGGTTAGCCATGGGAAATGCAGGGTTACAGGAACAGAGTAGGGGGATGGATCTGGGTGGGATGCTTTTTGGAGGGCTGGTGTGGACTTTTTTTCTTAGTGGGGAAACATTTTGGAAATCTGAAGCACAACGGGACTGGAGTTATCATTCGGGATTCTCTTAAAGTTAACATGCAGGTTCAGTTGGCAATTAGAAAGGCAAATGCAATGTTAGCATTCACTTCAAGACCAGAGATGTATTGCTAAGGATGTATAAGGCTCTGATTAGACCGCATTTGGAATATTGTGAGCAGTTTTGGGCCCTGTATCTAAGGACGGATGTATTGACCTTGGAGGCAGCCACAGAACGTTTACAAGAATGATTCCAGGGATGCAGGGCTTGTCAAACAGGGAGCGGTTGAGGACTCTGGGTCTGTACTCAATGGAGTTTAGAAGGATGACTGGGAATCTGATTGGAACTTGCAGAATACTGAGATGCATTGAGAGTGTATGTGGAGAAGATGTTTCCACAAGTAAGAGAGACCAAGACCCAAGGGCAAAACCTCAGAGTGAAGGGATGACCCTTTAGAGCTGAGATAAGGGATTTCTTCAGCCAGAGGGTGGTGAATCTGTGGAACTCATTGCTGCAGAGGCCAAGTCACTGAGTGTAGTAAGACAGGGATTGATTAGTTCTTGATTGGTAAGGGGATCAAGGGTTACAGGGGGAAGGCAGAAGAATGGGATTGAGAAACATATCAGCCATGATTAAATACCGGAGCAGACTCAGTGTGCTGAATGGCCTCATTCTGCAGTTTCATCCTATGGTCTTACTATTCGAGGCTAGGCCTGCAAGTTAATTACAGATTGATTCCTGTTCAGAAAACACTCTAGATGTTTCCGTTCCAGAGATGCATTTCCCTCAAATGGATGGCAGATGTTTGGATATTAACTGGTGCCAATCAGTCTAACAAAGGGAAGGAATTTTAAAAAAAGAACCTAAACCAAAGTTTCAACTG